ATTTTCCAGATAAATAACACAGAGCTGGCGTCTTGTGACCCCCAAGTCTGGGACCGCTTCCACTACCCAGCCTGGACACCTCTGGCTTCTCACTCTCTGCTGAGAGCTGTGTGTGAGGGGGGTGTGCTGATATCACCCCCCCCCGAACATCGCTATGGCAACCGGCCCCAAACAGAAACCTTACTTGGCTTGGAGGTCACATGTCCTCACCTGCTGATGCTGTAACTTTCCATGGCAGGACCTTGAAAGGCCTCAAAGATAATAACGCCCGAGATTTTATTGTGGGTCTACTTTGTACCAGCGTCTTTATTCGCTTTATCTTGGATGTCCATTTCATAGGCGCAGAAACAGGTTCAGAGGGGTAAGCGCATTGCCATAGGCATACAGCTAAGATTTCAACTTTCATATGGGCCGTGTTCTTTCTGTTAGCCACTGAGGGCTACTTTCTCCCCACTTCCCGTTTGTTGCCTGCGATTGGTTGTTACCCAGACCCTTCCTCTAGCCTCTTGGTTGTCTGGCTCACTCGGTAGGGTGTGGCTTGACTCAGGGACTGAATGAAGGTCCTGAGCTATTTTTTTTTCCTTCTCAGCTTTAGCCCTAGTGACATTTTGGATCTTGTGCCGTATGAGTGTGTAGGTGTGTGGAGAGGAGGGGTGTCATCCTGTGTATTAAAAAGTGTTTGGCAATTTCGTTGGCCTTTCTCTACAGCATGTGGGTAGCACCCCCCCTTTCAAACAGTGACAACAGAAACGGCTTTAGGCATGTTCAGGGAGCTCCCAGTTGAGATCACTCTTTTATAGAAATGAGGGGTCAGGGTCAAGTTGATAACAGTTCCTGCTCCAATTAGACCACAAAGAAGACAGAGCAGGATCAGCTACGTACAGAATCTGGTATGGAGCAGGTACTGGTAATAAACGAATGGTATCTGTGAAGGGGGAATGTTCTAGATGAAATCCTGATGTTTTGGGTTCCTATACAGATCCTCACGAGTCTGTTCTGGGGTGACCCAGTCCTTCCCCTCCCTAAATCCCCTTGACAATCTCTTAAATGAGGATTGTTACAGGTCTTGAAGACCCTGAGCATCCATGGTCGGGAGATAGACAGAGACCAGAAAACTGAAGGTAGGTTCCCCACAGACGAGGTACTGCAGCCCTGCCTGGCTCTGTCTCTTTCCTCTTCTTGCTCCTCAAGTCAAATCAATTATGAAGACAGACAGCCTTGTTCCCCTGTAGTTCCCCCTCCCCCAGGAGACATAGCTCCTATCCTGGATGGATGTCTTAAAAGGAAGAACAGGGAGCCTCAAAGGTAAGTAAATATCCAATTCCTGATGTCCAGCCTCACACCCCCCCAATCCACCTACTTAGGAGTTTAACAAAAAGCTTCTTTAGGATACACTGTAAGGCCATTGAGGGAGCAATGCTGCCTCTCACACATCCCAGCCAGCCCACAGAGCCCGCCCTCTAACACACACACACACACACACACACACACACACACACACACACAGCTGCATACAAGGAGGCTCTGAGTTTTTCAAAGTAAACTCAACCATTTCCGTTCTTGCCCTGGATTCAACTTTTGAAAAAAGGAACCGTTTTACTGGTTTCCCAACAAATTTCTCCTCTGATCCTGTCCTCTTCTTGCCTGCATTCTCTCTCCAGTTTGCTCTCACCAGATCCTTTTAACAGACATCCAGTTGGTTAGTGTCCAGGAAGGGAGGGATGCCATCCTCAAAGGAAATTTTACATTGACTGACCTCCTATATTCCCGGGACACAGGAGCCCAGAATGTGACTCCCCGACAGCAGGAGAAAAACACTCCTATCTCTAAGCCATGCGTCTATACCATACCCCACTTCTCAAGACAGCATTTACCTATATACCCGTACCCAGGGCTGTCTTCCAATATCTCAGTTCCTCTCTGACACCGAGAGCTCTCATTTATTGAACTTGTCTTTCTTCCCTATCCCCAGTTCTGGTTCTAGCTGCGTCTGGTCTGGGTAGGTGTTGGTACAGTTGCAGCAAGGACACTCCAATGCCTGCCACCTGGAGTCACAAGGCTGGAATTTCTCAGACAGAAGCACCGTTGCTATTGGTGCCTTGTCCTCCCCCTTTCTTTCTGTTTTTGAGTTATATTTGAAGCCTGTGGTTTTTGAAAAAGGATCTCACAATGTAGTTCAGGCTTGACTCCAACACATTATGTAGCCCACGCTGGCTTTAAACTTTCAAATGCTGAGATTATAGACTATCATCACACTGGGCTGTAGTTGATATCTTCCAAATTTTTATGGACTATAACTTGCAATAAAAACACATTATGCAAATATAAAATATATGTCTATTTGCATATATTTTATGAACACACATACCCTCATGGAGAACTGCAAAACACATATAGAAATGAAAATTTCCAGAAGCAATACTTGCCCTTATCATATGGGAGGCATAATATTATCTACTATTTCATCAAAGCCCCGCTGACTTGATGTTACAGCTTGAGGTTGGCTAAATCTTGTCGGCAGCCATAGACCCACAATGACACTCCAAGCCAAAGTCTATGGGCTTCCCCAGACTTAGCCAAGGCGCCCCAAATGTCTGGGTCTGGGAAGGATCCAGTTCTAAAAGGTATCATTAAAAAATCCACCAAAACTTGAGACATACAGTCTCTAAGAATGCCCCAAACGGGCACTACCCGGAGCATATGATTTGTGACCCAGTAAAGGAGAACTGAGGTTTGTAATGTCTGTAGAGGGCTTGGAAAAGCACACACATTATGCCCTTAAATCTTTGAAGAAATCCACTTCTGCAGTCCCTCCTTCTTGCCTTTTTTTAGAGATAGGAAACTGAGCCTCGAGGAGGCTCTAGACCGTAACAAACTCATGTCACATGATTGGCAGGGTTTGAACCCTAATCTGCTTTCCTTCTCAGGAAGTGAGTTCTCTCGTGGAGCCCCCTTGTTGTTAGGGGCATGGGTCACCTTTGTATGCCAGGGTAGAATAATGCCAGGGGATGGGGGGAGGTATTCAGAGTATCCTGAGTGCTTAGGGGTCATGATGGCTTTCAAACTTAACAAAGTCCCGGTATGAAGATTACTAAGTATGGTCTTCACGGAAACATTTTAGGAAAAGCAAAATTACTTAATATTAAAATGAACAATAACAGTAAACACTCTCCGAGTATTTGCTGGGTGCTGGGTGTGTACTGGCCCTTTGCTTGGGTCACCTCAGCTGTTTAGTGGGTGCCTGCTGAGCCACCACAGCCCAGAGCCTGGCTTCTGAGTGGTACTCTGGAGAAAGGTACAATGAATGAACAAACCGGGTCTGCCATTAGAAACGCCACATAATGACATTTAAATTATATTTAAATGCAACACAACTTCAGGGATTCCAGTATATCTAAGAGAGATCCCCCCCCCCCTTTGATAATCCCTTCATCCAAAATGTTTGAAATGGGGATGAAGGTTCTGTAACATTTTCTTTAGGTGAGTAGAATCTCCTTTAGGGTGGTGGATGGCTGGCTAACATTCTTATCTTTCGAGCCCCCTACCTAGCCTTGCCCAGCCGATATAAGCAACTTGTTAATCCTCATCATAGTAACCCAGAAGTAAGAAAGAGTTGAGATTTCTGGTTCCTTAAATCAGGCTGAGAAACTGATTTCAGCCTCAAAAAATCTAGACCTAGGGGCTGGAGAGATGGCTCAGTGGTTAAGAGCATTGCCTGCTCTTCCAAAGGTCCTGAGTTCAATTCCCAGCAACCACATGGTGGCTCACAACCATCTGTAAAGACGTCTGGTGCCCTCAACTGGCCTTCAGGCATACAGACAGAATATTGAATACATAATAAATAATTAAATATTTTTAAAAAAATCTAGACCTAATCCTGCCTTTGTCCCCAAACAAATGTCTGGTAGAAAGTCACCTCACTGTTCTAGGTGCCCAGAGGAGATGAGATGGGTGTTTTTCAGGGTTTAGTGCTGCCGACGACAACCTACTGCAACATCCAGAGGCAAAGGCATCATGCTAAGACATCGCACATAGGTTCTTTCTCCCGTTGCTTCTCCCTGGCACCCCACAGAACGGGAATCCACACACCCGCCAGGCCACCCGGAACCTGAAAAGCTTGCTAGTGAAACTCGAGTGGATACCTCCTTCAGGGTCCAGCTCCCAACTGCGGGGAGCGGCATATCCGAAAAGTTTAAGCTGGATACTTCCTTCTAAAGGAGACAAGCCTACACGCCCACAGCTAACTGACACGCTGCCACCCTCCCACCCAGCCCTGGAGTTGGAAGGGTTGCAGAATATCCCAGAAATGAAAAAGCTGCCCTGGGCCAGTCGTGAGTCCCGTCTCCTCTCCTCTTTCCAGCTTGACAAATGCCATCTTGGTAGACGACGGTCATCTCTGAGCTTGGCTCTGGTCTGCCCTGGAGCAGCTCAGTAGCCCTGTCCCATGTTCTGTCAAGCTCTTTCCAGATCTTTCCCCACGGCTTTGGGTGCCCCGAGACTCCTGGAGCAAATCTGCAGCAAATCAAGAGGACCCGCTAGTTCTCTGAACTCTGCTGCCTGTCTGACCTGCTATTCACATAATTTTGTCGATTCTCTGGTCACTTGGCTTTCCCAATGGAAGCCAAAACCTCATGGAGCGCCAAGAGGAACGGGGAAGGGGGGGTGGATTTGAACCCACATTTCCTTGGCTTTAAAATTGCCTCTCCGTTTGTACTTCAGTTTAGCGCCCCCAACCCTTAAACTTGTAAAAGCTCTTTCTTAATCCCGTGTACTAGGAGCGAGAACCCCTCCACGTGTTCCCTTTCACTCTGAGTCAGGGCAGCAGTTGAGTTTGCTCAACTTCGGTGCCCTTGCAGCTGAGGTCCTGAGCCCCAATACACATGCCCAATGGGGATACGGAGACACACCACCCCCAGCACACAGTCGCGTGGCCTTAGCAGCATTCCCAGATGCCCCGAGACAGAGCTCCTGTCTCGGTAAAGAAGAAGACCTTTCTTTACCTTGAAGAGTTGAACTTGTTCCTCCAAGAACTTCAGTCCCGTAACGCTGGCGAGGCAGCTAGGGATTCCTGGGGGCTGTGAGCCCCGGGTCTTGCTGCGTTGCAGCGGGGATGCTCTGCGTGGAGGGTGCCTTGCGCACCCCTCCTCCCGCCGGCGTCTTGTCCGCAGGTCCCCTCGGGCGGTGGCCGCAGTGGCAGCTAGCTGGCTGGGTTGCGGAGCAGGGTCGATAGAGGGAAGGGACACAGAAAGGTGCACGGAGCCCCCTTGGCACCTGCGTCAGATGTCAGCCGGTAAGGGTGCGGAGAGAGAGTGAGGGACCTTGAGCGGTGCTACGCGCGCGTCCTCAGCTCAGAGAGCCCCCTCTGGCACCGCGGGGAGGTAGGTGGGCGGGAAAGGCGAGCCGTGACACATACATAAGGGCCGGGCGGGGGAGGGGTGGGCACACATGAGGGGTGGAGGTGGGAGGGGGCGAGCTCACAGGGAAACCCCACCCCCGGGGCCGGTCTGCAGGGGGAGGGGAAGGCAGAGGCGTCCTGAGCTTGCAGGACCCGAGCTGGAGACCGCGCTCAGCTGCGGAAGCCGCCCGGAGCTCAGGGCACGAGAGGAGCACGAACCCCGCAGCTCCGGGGCCAGCGGAGGAAAGCCGCGCGGGCAGCGCTGGAGGGCCCCGCGTCTGCATTGCGGTCGGCAGCTCCGCAGTCCAGGCGGCCCCGGAGGGCTGCGCCCACAGAGTGCCGGGAGCACCCGGTTCGCGTAACCAGGTGGCGGGCCGAGGGTTCCCTGGGCATCTAGTGGAGATTTGCTGTTGAGACTCAGAGGGACCGGGTCACGCAGGAGGACCCCCTACTCTGGGGCTGAGATTTTGGAAGAACCTTCAGGGAGCATTGCTGGAAAGTTTTGGGGGTGGGAGACCCCGAAACTACAGGGGAGAGTGGAGAGAGGAGATGAGGCAGCCACAGAGGCACAAGGTTAGGGGTCTTCAAAACTCAGGATAGGCCAAGGACATCTCAAACAGGAATTTGCTACCGCCTCTACGGCACTCTTTAATAAATTTGTTTCCTGGGAAAAAATTTAAAAACTAAGTTTTTGGTTACCCATATGAGCTAGCTGTAGTTGCAACATACAGCAATATTAATTTTTCCAAACCGTCCAATAAGTTAAACACTACAACACCTTCCCTTACCTCCCAGTGGCGCACATCCCTTGGAGCTCAGAAAGTGGTGGAGTTGCCCATCAAGCTGGGGGCTAATTTCAAACCAAGGTCACTCCTCTGTGCCACAGGAGCAGCTGGTCAGGCTGCAGCACGTTTGGGGGTTGGGGATTCGGACTGCTGATGGCCTTGAGAGGAAGCTAGTGTCCTTCTCAGGAAACAGCGGCCTCTGGCAGTGTGGTGGGCAGCTCCCACTTCTCTCCCTAGACAAGAAGTGGGCCCTATGCAGATGACACAGTGGAAGAGATCTACCCGAGTGTTCCCTTGATGGAAGGGTCAGAAGCGATGTGCCTCAGTTTCCTCAGACTGACTATGCAGGAATTGTGTGGGCATCTCATGGGCTAACTGTATCCGGTTCTGGCCCTGGCCCTGGCCCTGGCCCAGGACGTTTTCTCAATATTTCTTCCCTGTGTAGAGGGGGGAAGCTCAGGCTCGGCTGGGCTGCTCAACCCACCTGCAGGGTCTGAGAGCTGAGCATGTCTCAGGTGTTGCCTGGCCATCCTTGTCCTGTCTTCTTCCTGTGCATTGCCCGCTCTGGGTCACAGTCAGCAAGTTTCAGAGAACCAAAGGGACAGTCACATAGTAGTCATCAAAACTGCTCAGAGGCCAGTGTCTTCCTTTGTTAGAGGAATGGAAAACCTTATAAGTTGCTGGGCCAGGAGCAAAGCGCTTTCTAGAAGCATCAGTCTCTCTTTTTTTTTTTTAAAAAAAAAAAATTAAACTAGTTCCTTTAAAGCCAGGGGTGGTGGTTTATATCGTTGATTTCCAGGACTTGGGAGGCAGAGGCAGGAGGATCTCTGTGAGATCAGACAGCCAGTACTGCTACACAGAGAAACCCTGTCCTGAAAAACAAAAACAATCAGAAAATAAATAAACTAATTAACTAAAAATTTTCTTTATGAGGAAATACCAGCCTCTTAAGTTCCAATGCATTTCTCACATCACATTCTGGTTGACAACAGACTGGCCTTGTCTGCAAAGTGGGATCATATTTGATATACATTGTGGGGTGTCCTGATGAAGAGCAACTCCAACCATGGGTAAATATTCACTAGATAATTCATCTCTGTAATGACGGAAGCACGTGTTTACCGATCATCTATTAGTTTTAATGAGAAGACAGCAGCCATTTTTTTTTATATGTCTGATGCTTTATGGTAGCATGGGCTCCCGGGTGCACACTAAGATACTGAGACTCTAACGACCACCCAGGCAGTGAATGGGCCATGGAGGCAGTTTGATATAACAGCACCCTGCCTTCCAGAGGATGCAGACAGCTCACAATGATGTTCAGTTGGATACTTTGAAGACTGGATTCTGAGAATCAAAGGTTACAACTTCAGACAGCCCTGAGTGGCTCATAGACACTTGTCCCACCTAACACAGGAATCCCATTCTGATTCTGTTCACCTGTTCTCGGCTAGAATACTTTGTAACTTTCTAAACTACTTTGCAGTCACTCAGTGTCTCTGAGAAGCCACCTGATGCCAGCAATGGCCACTGGTTAAGTTCTGACTTCTGTCCACCGTGTGTGGTCCACAGACTCTCATGGCAGCTGGAGCTTGTGAGAGACACAGACTCTCAGGCCCCAAGAGTCCCCAGGTATTTCACACACTACCTCAAGCAGGGGTGTCACATGACATCACTCATGGAACCATCGACGGAGCTGCTCAGAGCAGCAAAGGGCTCTGACTGAACTCAGGAGACACTCCTTTGGACAGATAGCATGCGAGCTGTTTCCATGACACCCCTGCAGGCTGGGCAGCACACTTTGCTCAGATTTGCCAGTGGTCTGATGTTCAGAGGCCATGCCCCATTTTGTCATGGCTTCTGGCTCTTAGGAAGTTCTCGGCTTAGGTAGCAGCCTGTGCTCTTGTCTCAGTGTGGAATCTGCAGTGACTCAAGTGGGTCCGTTTCCACCCTCTGCCTGTGCCCCTTGAACCTCTTGTACATGGCAGGCCTCTCCCTCGTTAAACCAGTGTGTTGCTTTCTCCATCAGCATCTCCTTCTTTTGGTCTGGGCATCCTTGCTTCTTTCTACCCTTTCTCATTTGTCTCAACCAAGAGATCTCGAGCGGTTTATAGAAATCATTATGAAGGTAGACTACTTCCATTGCCTGTGAAAGAGCGATTTAAAATGGAATTCAGCCCTGTTGATATGTCCAACGTGGGAGTGTGTGTGCACCACCTTTGTCTGAGTCCTGTGCATTTAGTTATGCAACTTACAGTTTTGCATCTTTCTGATAGTTATCAAGGCTGAGCCTGTGACTTTTTCACCTGGACCACTGTGATCCTGTCTCTCCTGTGTCTTGTTCTGGTCTGATGAATGGGTGGGACTTCATCTTTGCTGTGGCTTATGATTACCCTCTCATACATTCAGCTCACCTCTCCACGGAATCTTGGTGCTCTGGGATTGCTACTGTTCTCAGTAGCAGACCATCTATGAAGCTCGCCAACATGCTACACCCAGTGTTCAGCTCTAACGAGGATAGATCCTAGGGCCAAAGCCTAGAGCAGGACCCTCGAGGCAGTCCAGGATGTCCCAGGATGGCACAGCTCCATATTCTAGTTGTCATGGTGGTGTAACAAACCTCCCCCGTATTTAGTGGCTTTAAAACAGCAGTGATCATTTACCATTGCCTGCGGTTTCTACAGTCAGGGATTTGGGAGCCACTCAGCTGGGCATCTCTGGCTTGGGACGTCTCATGAGGTTACACTTGGATGTCAGTGCAGCTGCAGTGAGTGGATAGCTTTCCAGAGGCTTGAGGACCCACAGCTAAGGTGGCTGGCTCGCATGATTGTCAGCTTGGTTCTTCTCCATAGGGGGGCTCCTATTACAGCTACTGAGTATGCCCAGGACATGGTGGCTGACATGCACCGTGGGTGATGTAGAGGATAGATGGGACCTGCACACACACCACACACACACACACACACACACACACACACCCCTACCTCCATGCACAACCACCCAAACATACCATGCCCATATACAAATAAAATAAAACAAAACCAAATGAAATGAAACTTTTCACATAGGCCACAAGAAACAGGTATCCTGTTTCTCTTCAGCTAGAAAACAGTTAAGGACCAGGGCAATTCCTTTCATGTCTGACAGCCTGGGATACAAATTTCAGTTTTGTTTAGAAACTTTGGGTAAGTTTCTCACCCCCCCCCCGGGCCTTTGTTTTCAACCTGTAAATGAAGGCACCCCAGAGATTTTTGAGAATTAAAGTAAGATGTGGACTCTTGACAGCTGGACCTGGAGAAGGGACTGGTGTTGGGTGCAGCGTGACCAATCTTCTCCTTTTCCCAGACCCTTATACACTGCTTTCAGTAAGTGCTTTGCCTTTGGTGTGTGTGTGTGTGTGTTTTCTGTATTTGTAAAAGAAGCTAACAATAAGAGCACAGTAATGACAACATCGGTTGTAATCAGCGGTGGGGGTTGCCATCTTTTCCAGAGGCAAAGGGCCATAGAAGAATACAGAAAACCCTCCTCAGGCCAGAATTGGGTCAGGAAGTGGAGCCTCCTGGTCCCCATCAGCATGTTTGGAAAGTGTCATTTTATTACTTTAACACTGTGCAAGTGACAGCTGAAGAGGAAAATGTTCTAAGAATAAGGAACACGGGGTAACTTAATGAAACACTTCCAAGTCCCCACATGTCTGGGTGCAATGAGGACCCACGGGAACAGGAAAACTCGGTGTCACTTAAGACACAGACCTAGAAGAGTATGTTTAGGGAAATGGGTTTTTGGAAGCTCTAGTTTGCAGTTTCTCCCTGAATTCAGAGTAGGTTGGTATTTCAGCAAAACCCTGCTGTTTATAAATGGAAATCATGGCAAGTGTTTTACTCATGCCTCCCCCATGTCTTTGCTACTGAGCATCCACGTGCAGAGA